ATTGCTTATTATTACAATTGTTTATTACTCTGTGCTAGTACCCTATTTTTTACTTACACATTTTGACAATATAGCAATATCGTCTTTAAAATAAATTTTTTTCAAACGTCTGTGTTCCTCCTTGTACATATAAACAAAACAGCGTCTTGACGTTTTGGGGTTAGAAACAGTCAGAAACGTCCGGAAATCGTTCGCGGAGAAATAGCTGTTAAAACTAGCAACTAATCGCGCCAGCGCACAACGTTAATCCCAAATCGGTCCGAAATTTATCCAAAACTAGTCAGGGACTGTCTCCGCGAACAAAACTATAAAATTATGGCTAAGATTTATATTATTATACAAAACTAAAAATGACATGCGACTCTTTCGGGACAGTGAACAGTCGGGCGATCGGTTGACGTTGAAAATAAAATAACTAGGTATTTTGATTAATGAATGAGTTTAGATTTTCGATTAATCTGCATTTTCGATTTCAAATCTTTGTTTATAGTTCGTCAAAGGACTTATTTATTGTAAATATTCAATTAGGAAGTATTTTTCTTATTCAAAATTATTTACCTCGTATAAGAATAATAATTTTATTTTCAAAAAATGCACATTTGTAGAAGATGCAGCTTTTATGCTCAACTTTCTGAATATTGCAATGATTGAAACTTCTGATGCATTTCTGTCCGTTCAGACTACTTCTACTACAAGTACTGACATACTGCCACCGCCAAACAAGCGTTAAAAGGTGATGGATACTTCCATTAATAAAAAGATTAGTTTAGAACAAAAGATACAAATAGATATGGATTTACTAAACCTATGCAAATATACGTTTCATCCGTTTTCCATAGTTGAAGAAAGAGTTTTTAAAAAGTTTGCAAGGTGGATTCCTGGATATAAACTGAAAACAAGAAAAACTTTGTCGGGTTCATTATTTCAGGAATTTTATATCAAAATTGAGCAAATTATTAGAGCACAAGTTGTTAAAGAAGTAGAAAATATCTGCATTACTACTGACCTCTGGACATCTGGAGTAACTGAGAGTTACATCGCATTAACAGGACATTATTTAACCGAAAATTGAGAATTTAAAACGGTTTTATTAGGCTTCTGCCATTTTTCTGGAAACCATAATTCAGCAAACATCGCTTTTGAAATTAGTGAAATTATTAATCAGTGGAATCTAAAAGGAAAAGTAAATTTTGCAGTAACTGATAATGCCTTAAATATGGTCAAAACTATTAAAGACGTTTTGGGATGGAAACATTTAAATTGTTTTGCTCATACGTTAAATTTATTGGTGAAGGACGCACGTAAATGCTATCGTGTACAAATAGATAAAATATAAAAAGTCATTTTTTTTTTTCGACATTTCGACAAAAAAAAATTTCAAAAAAGTACCTTATCTTCAAAAAAGCCTTTAAAGGATCAATTACAACATAACAAAGTTCCCAAACAGCAAATCCTGCCGAATCTTGGCCTCCGCTTTCTATGATTAGTAACGGTTTGCAATTGCAGTGTCAATTCTATGGTGATTTTCCTGGGGGTGCTCTATGAGCCATTAATGCAGTGGTTCCCCATTGCCTTCTGGATTCTTATTGGGACCGTGCAAGTTCGGAACAGCGACACCTGGTGTCGTAAATCAGTAAAATTTACTGCGCTTTCATGTTAGATCGAGGTTACCGGATAACTGTCAAGGACGTAGCCCCAAAAAAGAATAAGAAGAAAAAGTAAGATTGAGGTTATGTCGGTATGTTATTAAAAGGTAAACGTTGTATGTAGTGTAAATACAAATAAATATGTTATTAAATTGCTTGAAGCTCTTGTCGACCAAGGAGTAGATAAACCATATGTCGAAACGCTAGCAAATATATACAAAGAGGCCACAGCTAGAGTAAGCATATATAAAAATACCCCAGAATTTCCCACTCAGAAGGGAGTCCGACAAGGAGACACCATATCCCCTAAGCTCTTCACTGCAACCTTAGAAAATATCTTCCGGAAATTAGACTGGAACAACCAAGGTCTATGTATAGATGGAGAATACCTAAACCATCTTAGATTCGCTGATGACATCATTCTAATTGCTAGAAGTCCTGAAGAATTACAACTACAAATTAATGACCTTAATACAGCCAGCAATGAGGTAGGCCTAAAAATGAACCTAGCAAAGACTAAAATAATGTGCAATGATCTGATCGCCAACGTGGAAATAAAAATTAATGAAACCTCGCTAGAAGTAGTAAACGAATACATATACCTGGGACAGCTCATACATAAATCGGGATCACTACTTCCGGAAATCAACAGACGAATAAAACAAGCGTGGTCAGCATTCGGACAAAACTCCATAGTCTTCAAGTCCAAAATGCCACTGTACCTCAAGAAGAGAGTATTTGATCAATGCATATTACCCGTATTAACGTATGGATGTGAAACTTGGATATTAAAGAGAGAAATAACGTCGAAACTCCAAGTAACTCAAAGAGCAATGGAAAGATGTATGCTAGGGATAACAAAGAGGGATCGTAAAAGAATTGAATGGATACGGAGGCAAACCCAGGTGACTGATGTAATCCAAAGAATAAAATCCCTGAAATGGCAATGGGCAGGACATATAGCAAGACAAACAGACAACAGATGGACCACTAGAACAACTATGTGGTATCCCAGGAACGCTAAGAGACCAAAGAGGCGCCCGAATCTCAGATGGGATTATGATATAAGAAAATTAACAGGAACAACGTGGTCTCGAATAGCACAAGATAGAAAAATATGGACGCAAATGAGCGCAAATTACAAGAACAACGAATAACTAAGACATCGTCGAATACTAATAAGAACATAGAATAACATTGAAATAAGGGAGGCTGCACCGTAATTGGAAACGGTCGATAAAGCTGCACATGATGATGATGATATTATTAAATTACAACATTACTGTTAATATGGATGCAATAATAAAAACTGGATTTGAGAAAGTAAATCACCAAATAACTTTTCAACCAAGCACTGAGTCAAATGAAAAAGCTTTAGTAGTGGCAAATGTCAAAAAAGAATGGAAGAATTATGTGGAAGAATTAAGAAAAATAAATTACCATAAATAATGTTAATGCATAAATTAGCAGGTTAAGCCCATGATATCATCATATTGGTTTGAACAATTAATTCTTTCCCTGTAAACTTTTGGACAGCGAATATATCTTAATGCATCTTCAGAAAAACTTAAACTTGATGCATTTTTGTAAACTTCAAAAAAATAAGATTTAAACATTAAACTTGAATTTTGGGTTAAAATGAACTCTTAAGTATGTGTTATAAAACTAAAATTTACACTTAAAAGTGAACTTTTATTTATTATTTATTTCAAACTGACTTTAAAATCGGGCGCAAGAATAATGCATTATGTTACTTATGCTTTTTTATGATATAAATCCACTTTTCTCTTTGTAGTAATTTGTGGTTCGAAGTTGGAAACGAATAAAGCTTAAATTGACAATTTTTTGTTGTATTTTTACAATTTATAACACAGCATTTCCTAAATCCCATTTTCTTTAGTGACAGAAGGTGTAAATAAACAAACGAATATGAAATATGATAATTGACAATATGAATTTATGAAATCTATGAAATTTCGATCGTTTCTCGAATCACATCCAAGTACTTGCACGTCGCCAATACTGTTGACCATTATTTGTTGATTCATCCGCCTTCGGGGCCGATTTCGGCCTAGTACAATTACTAAAATCTGGTTTAGCAGAAAGATTTAAAGGGATAGAACCGAGTTGCACATTGTCATTATGTATATTTATGGATTCACGATTTAAAATGCATGGATTTTCTGATAAAAATGAAGCTAAAAAAACAAAAGAAAGAGTTGAGAAGCTGGTTACTTCTATAATTCAAGAAAAAGAAGATTGTACTATTGAAAATCAACCAGTACAAGAAAAATAAACCGATAAAGATGACTTAAGTGGTGTATTTTTGATGAATTAATTAGACATGATTCATCTAAACTTACACCTTTATCGAGAGCTATATAAGAAATCGACATGTATTTGTCTGATGATATATTACCCAGAAAAAATTCAAACGGAGATTGGAACTGTCCATTACAGTGGTGGAAAAACCATCGCCATGTATATTCTAACTTAACCATTATATTCATAAAATATTGTAATATTTTAGCCATCAGTTCCTTGTGAACACATGTTCAAAATCTGGTTTAATTTTAAATAAAAGGAGAATATGGTTAACAACAAGTAAAGTGGAAAAACTTATTTTTTTATATGTCAATTTAGAGGATTCGCGATTTAATAATAATAACGTGTAATGTAAATGTAAGTACGATTTACTATTTGCATTGTTTAATTTATTTTTTGAGTTATAATAAATATATCCTTCATTAGTTCCTTTCACTTCAATACATATACACATAAACGATAATAGCCAATATGTTTGTTTATGTACTCTCTTACTTAAAACCATTGTTAAACAATCAACTAGTTGAATAATTTGACGTTACTTGTTTACGAAAAACGATTCCGTTACGTTAACGATAAAAACGTCAACGACCCACCTCTACTTGTTACCACAATATTAAAATCAAAGTGTCCTTACTTTGACGACACGAGACGCGACGTGGCCAAATAATTTTGTATGAAGCTTTTTTATTGTGGCGCATAATGCAGTTTATTATTTTTTATTAGGAATAAGGCACAATGTGACTTGAAAATAAGCTTATTTTGATGTTTAAATTTTTAATTCAGAAATCGTACTTAAAATACGAAAACATGAATAAATTTTATTTATATAAAACGATTTCCGAAATGGAATTGTGTGTATATTATGCTTTAATGTGATATAGATTTCAACGTTTTGGAGCTTTATTATTTATGTCTCCATAATCAGTGCACTACTAATAATTATGAAGATAATCGTCATCAGTAGTAAATCTGTTTGGCCACTTTATAATTTGATAATATTAAACTAAAAAACTGATTTAATTTCAGATCTTTATTTGGTACTGAACATTCGCAAGTTTTACGACGATGGGAGAAAACACAACAAAATTTTGTCAGATATTATGCCACCGATCTTCCAACTCATACCAAAGTCACACTGCCAGCTCTTTCTCCCACAATGGAACTGGGTACTATTGTTAGTTGGGAAAAAAAGGAGGGCGACAAACTCAATGAGGGCGATTTACTCGCTGAAATCGAGACTGACAAGGCGACCATGGGATTCGAAACTCCGGAGGAAGGTTATCTAGCCAAAATTATCATACCAGCTGGGACCAAGGATGTTCCTATAGGTATTTTAATCTATATTTGTTTGAGTTAAAAAGATATACTTTAAAATTACACTTTAAACTTTATTGGACGCATAGCTTTCTTATCTCGGGCTACGGACGATGGATCGCGTAGAGGTATAAAAAAAATAAAAACGAAAGAAACTCAATGAAACGGACACGGAATGAAATAAAATGCAATGTAATGACAGATCGCGCGACCACACACTGCATGTGTGTCCAAAACGTATTTCTTAATAATATAAACTAAAATAATAAAATTAAATTAATAACATAATATCGAATCGAATCGCTTCTAACGCATAACATCGCTTCTAACGTAGAGGATATGGAAGCTATGCTTCCCTCCTCGATCACTCCTGGAGTGCTACATCCTGTTTTTATTTTTAAGTTGATTTATTTCTCTTATTGTTTGTATTCCAATAGAACCATTTCTAGTGACATTTTGAGGGGTTGGTTATTATATTAAAAGTTTTTTAGGCAAACTGGTGTGTATTATAGTCGAAAACCAAGCAGATATTGCAGCTTTCAAAGATTTCAAAGATGAAGGATTAGCAGTTCCAACCCAACCAAAGGCTGCTGCACCTAGTACTCCTGTACCATCACCAGCACCACCAGTAGCTGCAGCATCACCTGCTCCACCAGTGGTTGCTGATGTAACCTCCACAGGTAGGGTGTATGTCAGTCCCATGGCAAAGAGGTTGGCCGAACAGAGGAATATCAGATTGCAAGGTTAGAAATTTAGAATGTATGCTCAATGTTTATTGGCGAAAAGCTCTTAAAATAATTTGCTATAAAAAGAAAAATAATGTGGCTTTATTTTAAATACAGAATGGTTATATTAGTTTAGTATTGCTTTGGGTATTTCTTTGTTAATTTAACCTGTTTCTTTTATGTGATGATGTCTTAACTGTATATTTTAATGATTCTTCTGAAGTTATTTTTGTAAGCCATTTTACTTTCGTAATTAATGTGCAAAATTATTACCAAATTGTAATTTTATCTTTACAATTACAGTACCTGACCAAATTATTAGGCCAAGCAAGGAAAAATTTACTATTTGAAGTTATTTCTTCCATTATTATGAATATATTTGAAAAAAATTGCTATTTTGTTCTTTTTTGTGAATAATAGCTCTTAGGTAATTAAACTGTACTAAAAAAGTTTTATTTATTAAAAACATAAATATATAACATTATATAAAAACGTTTTTTCAAAGTTCCACACATGTGCTATTTAAATTTTAGCATGAAATATCTTCTTTTACTATAAATAACATATCAAAACTGTAACATGTTGGTTATTTTGGCTTTTGATAAAACATGCGTCAGAACTCACCGTGCGCATACTGATATCATTTGAGAAATTTTCTACAGTTTTTAGCATCTGATCTAGGTGGTTTCGAGTGGAAGCCATTAACTTCAAATCATCCATATACAACAGATGATTAAGCTTCGCCACAACAGTGTTTTTATTTTTGATGCTAAATCCTGAGTCAGTGGAGTTCAGCAGCTGAAATAGTGGGTTCATCGCTGAACCAAAGTGGACTCAATGAGTCCTCTTGGAAAAGGCCCCGGTTAAAATGGATATCTTCAGTTTCGATATTAATTTCACCAGGTATTTGAAGGTGAATTTTAGTCTTCCACTCTGCCATTATATGCTTTAAAAAGGTCACGAGATTATCATCGACTTTATATATTTTCAATATATCTATAAGCCATTCATGCGGCAATGAATCAAAAGCCTTCTTATTGTCAACGAAGGCAGTAAAAAGGTTTCTTTTTTTTGTGTATTCCTGGTTATAAATGACTGGGTCGATAATAAGTTCTTTGCAGCCCATAGAGCCCTTAGCGCCCCTTTCTGTTGAGGCTCTATGATAGCGGTCGGGGAACTTTTTTAATCATTACCCCAAAACATTTTTGTGTAAGTTGATATTACCCAAGGCAAAAAACAAAAAAGCAAAAAAAAGGCCTCTTTTTAGCATCATTCATATTATAGCCCCCATGATAGTTTTGAACAGAAAACAATAACTAAAACATAAAATAAACATCATTTATTCAATTTCTATGATACCTAGAAATACATAACATAATAATAGATAACAATAATAAGATATAAAAAATTAAAACCCATTGCGGTACTGTAACAAATTATAATAATAATAATGGTTGTACTAACAAAAATTAGAATTGAAAAAATTATAAAAAAAGAATAATTGAAAACATTCTTCCTTCACGTTTTGGAGAAATGATGTTTCATGTTCGATACAATTGCTTCAAAATTGGGACTTTTTGATGTAAGAGCGATACAGTCTTCGGCGTTTAATCGATTTCTGTTCTTCGTTTTTATATTCACTAGAGTGGAAAAGCCTTGTTCGCACAAATATGTTGTTCCAAATGGCAGCAATTTTTTAACCGCCTCTTCATGTGCAATTTTGAAAGCCTTTGCAGCTTTTGATATCCAAAAAGACGACAGATTTGGTTTACTTTCAAATTGAATACGTGCTTCAGTATTAGATCGAAGTTCAAGAATTGCGTCTGCCAAACCTGAAGGTTCTTCTGGTATCATATCAATTTCACATTTAAAAGGATCTACAATCCAACTGACAGTACGTATATCAAGATCTGGAAAGTAATCTGAAAACCGCTTTCTGAGTTTGATAAGATGTCTTACAATTGTATCCTTGATGTCAGCAAAAGTAATATTTTCGCAATCTTCCAAAAACAAAGCTAACCTTGAAAAAGAAGCTGTTCTACTTTCTGAATCCAATATTGCAGCTTTAATCCAAACGCTGACGCTATTTCTCTCGCTGAAATGATATTAATATTCTTTCCTTGCAATTCTTTGTTTAATATATTTATACTCTCAAAAATGTCAGCTAAATATGCGAGATATGCAACCCAGGAAGAGTTTTTAAACTTATCTGCGAGAATATTTTTTTGATCAACCATAAAAATTTCCACTTCAGTTTTGAGAGTCCATACTCGATTTAGTACATTTCCGCGAGGGAGCCACCTTACTTCTGTATAATAAAGTAGGTCCGTATATTCGGCTTCACCGTCCTGACATAATTCACGAAGTAGCCGCGTGTTTAGTGCATGTGCCTTGATAAAATTTACAATCTTGATGACATCATGCATGACGGCTTCCAGTGTAGGTTCTAAATATTTGACCATAAGGGCCTGGCGATGGATCATACAGTGAATAACTTCAATATTTGGGTCAATATTCTTTTTTACGAAAGCCGAAAAACCATTAATATGGCCCAGCATAGCTGGAGCTCCATCCAAAGATACTGAAATAAAGTTTTCCCATTTTCAACTTTGCGCATTGAAGTATTCATTTACTTTATTGTAGACATCAATTCCACGAGATCTTAATTCGAGAGGAGAACAAAACAGCAATTCCTCTTCAAAATTAGCTGCACCTTTGTTACGAACATATACCATTAGCTGTGAATTGTTACTAAAATCAGTTGTCTTATCAAGCTGAATAGCAAAATATTTAGCCTGTTTTAATGAGAAAATAACTTGTTCCTTCACATTTTCTGCTAATATAGAAATTCGTTCTTTCACAATTCTCGCAGACAAGAGCACTGAATTCAGTTTGTTCGCTTCTTTTTGACCACACATAATCTATGTCATTTTTACAGCAGCTGGTTTAACCAAATCTTCACCAATAGTGTATGGTTTCTTATTTCGAGCAATAAACCAGGCTACTTCAAAGCTAGCCCTTGATGCTGAACGCTGATCAAATGTACCAAACAAGTTGCTATTCCATCTTTGTCTTTTAACAGATATTTCTAAATTTGCAAAGTATTGTGTGAATGCAAATTATCTAAATGTTTCTTCAGTTGACTTTTTTTGAAAGATTCTGAAGTCAATACCTTCATACATACAACACACTGGCTTCATTGTACCATTGTCTTCTATTTGTGTAAAACCGTAATTAAGGAATTCGTCTTGATATTTTCTTTTTCTATTTGCTGCCATCTGAAGGAGACAGAAAATAATAGTTGTAAAATACTTAAATTAAATTTTCAAATTGCGGCTTACCTTGATCGATATATCGATGATTAATGATTGTCAGCAACTAACTATAGCTCTCTGACTCATCAATGTATTTGTATTCTGACTACACGGCACGGACTGAGGGTCGAGGGACTGAGCAGGTAGCCGGGGCTCGGGGCTGTGCTTTACTGCGCAAAGATATAACTCGAGAACACTCTACTGGTGGGGAGTGCAGTGGCGCACCCAAGGGGGTTTTGGGGTTTAAAATTCCTCCCAGGGCATATAAAAAATTTACAAAGGATAGTAGGAAAATGTAATTTATCTTTCACAAATAATACAAAAAAATTTCGGTGCATGCAAACCAGGTTTATAAAAAATCAAATTAAAATATATACTTTCTATTCACAAGTTTCATTTTTACCCCCAAAAATTTCATTTTTACCCCATTTGGGATCATTTACCCCGGTTCCCCGACCGCTGCTCTATGATATTGTTCAGAGCACAGTGTTGGTAGATCGCCGGGTACACAGAATGTGATCAATTTATACAGAGGAAGACAAGTAACTGAGCGGCACATGGCTGTATCTTGGGTATTATTTTGATCCTTCGGTATTAGATAAGTGGTTCCTTGAGTAAGAAATGATGGTATTTCCTGTGAAATAAAAATAATATTATTAATAAATAATGTTAAAATCTCTTGAGCACTCCAAAACTTCTCTAGCCAGAAGTTTTGAACTCCGTCTGGTCCGGGAGATTTCCAGTTATAAAGCTCTTTGATAATTTTCGAGACTTCTTCAGTGATGAAAGGTTCTTAGGATTATTATTATTATTGTTACTTAACAAAGAAGGGCAGAGGAGGGAGCTCCTATTATACCCAAAAAGCAAAAAAAATATCCTTATAAAACTAATACGAATTATAGAGTTAAGTAAAGTTAAACAATTAAGTACATCATACAAAAATTGTGAAATAATAAATAAATGGACAATGAACAATAATGGACAATTAGGTTTTAAGTTTTATTTTTTGTTATTGGGGGTGCTTAAATGTGATTGTATTGTTTTGCGTATCTAAGATTTGTCTTATGAACGATGAAAAAAGAACTATAAACATTTCTTAAGCACCGATTTTACATAATAAAATACGTACCTTTTTTTGCCTTTTTGAGACTTTTTGCTCGTTTTGCCTTCAGTTTATTTTTTTTTTTCGTTTACTCATTTTGTGTTCTTCTTATATGACTAACAGCGCTGTATTACTGATTTATGGTGTTGTAAATTGCTAGCTTCATTTTTAGGTTTAAATTCGATTGCCCTTTTTTTATTGTTGATATAGTGTTACTGGAAAACGCCTTAGATTACGATCTATGGCATCGCATTTAATAGTTTTTCAGAAATTTTCTTTTACAAAGGATACTTTATAATATCTTATGAGCAAAGTGGAATACTGTATAATTTGTCATATCGCCTACTAAAATAAAATGTCAACTTTTTTTCAAAAACAAAAAGTGGAAAATTTGGGTAAAGACAACAGGTCGTATTCTCAGAAAATTGTGGTATCACATAATGATAATGACTATTTTCTCAACTATTTCGTAGTATGTATGAAGAAACCCAGATAAATATAAAATGTAGGTTTCTATGATTGAAAGATCAATTGAATTTTGTAGAAAGAATCGTTAAAACTTTGCAGTTTGGGTAATTGTCACTATCATCAGGTTATTTTGTTTGCTTGTATTCTTGTGTCTTTACACCGTCTCAACATGGTACATTAGTTTTAAAAATAATATAACAGATCACACTTTACTCAATCGTGCAATAAGAAGTACTTAAGAAAATGTTTATTGTTCAGGTAAAGGTACCGGACTATTCGGCTCAATAACTTCTTCTGATCTACCAGCCCTAGAAGCCGCCTCCGCAGCACATCCCGCCGCCGTAGCTTTGCCTTCAGCTGGTGCACAAGCTTCAGCATCTCCCTTCGTAGACATCCCAGTGACAGGAATGAGAGCCACCATAGCTAAGAGACTGCTTCAGTCGAAACAGACTATTCCCCACTATTATTTATCGGTTGAAATTAACATCGATAACTTGATGGCCATCAGGGCGAAATATAACAAAAAATTAGAGAAGCAGAACGTGAAGTTGAGTGTTAATGATTTTATCATTAAGGCTGTAGCACAAGCTAGTTTAAAGGTGAGTTTAAAACGGATATATTTATCCCGTCAATTATATGTTCTCTTCTCTATGTTTTCACTTATAGAAAGTATTAAGTGATATATTTCAATTTAGTTTTTGAAAAGTCTTAGCACGAAAATACTATTACAGTGGAACCTCGATTATCCGTCAGGGCACCGAACCAAGGGTATGACGGATAATCGAAAAAACGGTTAACAGAACATTAAAAATTCAGAGTATAACTCTCAAATTTTATTTATATTATTTGTTTTATTTGACAATATAAGAAACATTTATGTTAGTACAGTCGAATCAATTTGATTTTTTTTTTTTTTTTTTTTTTATTTAAATTTACGTGTCTCGACAACTATGGTCATTGACACGGGAACAAACAAAATCGGTATTTACAATATATGATTAAGCTACAGTTTTGGTACTTTTACAAAATTCGTAAATATTTTATATTAAATTATATAATTTAGAGTCTCTTAAAAAAATAATCAAAGAGTTCATTGAACCAGGTGAACTAAGTATATCACTAAGGGTACCACTAATGTTATGCCGTCGTCGGGTGGAGCTGAAAGTACTGCATTCATGTAGGATATGCTGTATGGAAAGCCGCGTGTTGTTGCAGCGTTCGCAGACTGGTGGATTTCCAGAACTCACGAGGTAACCATGCGTGAGACGAGTGTGTCCTATTCTTATTCGTCTAATTATGGCTTTGTCTCTTCTTTTTTGTATGGGAATTTGCAGTGGTCGAATTATTGGTTGTATTTGATGTAATTTGGATGTGCTTCTACTCCATTGATCTTGCCAATTTTCCAAAACTGATTGCCTGAAGAGATATTTTAGGTCCTGATGGAGCTGTATCCTTTCGACTGGATGATCAGGGCAATTAGCTTCTTTCGCTGCTTGGTCCGCTTTCTCGTTACCAATAACACCTACGTGCGAAGGAACCCAGATTATGGAGACTGAGGTGCCCGAAGTTAACAGCTGATGACAGTGAGCGTGTACCTTATTGACTATTGGGTGTTGTGATCTTAGGGTTTTTAGTGAATGTATCGATGACAGAGAGTCGGTGCATATGGCTATACGTTTGCTGCTTTTTGGTGTGACTTCTAGCGCCTTGTTTATTCCATATAATTCCGCTGTATGTATACTGCAGATAGTAGGGAGGCGAAATGACGCTATTGTTTCATTTGTTGTGGTAACAGCACAGCTTGTACCATGTTCATCTTTACTGGCGTCTGTGTATAAGATTGTATCAAACTTTTCCATGTCAATCATTTTGTTGAACTCTTGTCTAAACATACTAATGGGAGTTTCCTTTTTGTCGTATCTACATAGACTAATGTTAAAACTAGGCTGCTTTCTGGTCCAAGGCGGGGTATGAGGGATACAGATCGGGGTCATATGTGAAAAATCTGTGTTGTTAATTAACTGGTGTAATTTGCGGTCAATTGGGTACACAGACCTAAGTTTTTCTGTTGGCGTTATTACTGTGTGTCTGGCGACAAGCTTGGCAGCTGGATTTAAGGGGTTGGCAGAGACCTTTGCAAAGTAATTCAGAAGTAGTCTTTGTCTCCTATAGGTCAGTGGAGGTTCATAGGCTTCAACATGAATGCTTTCAGATGGGCTGGATCTAAAAGCACCAAGACAAATACGAAGAGATGTGTTCTGAACGACGTTAAGAGAATTTAAGAGAGACTTGCATGCAGACATATAGAGTATGCTACCGTAGTCAAGTTTGGACCTAATTAGGGCTTGGTAAATTCTGAGTAATACTTCCTCTTCAGAGCCCCAGTGATAGTGGGCAAGAGATTTAATTATGTTTATTCTTTTTAAACAATTAGCTTTAGTGGTTTGTATATGATTTCTCCAAGACAGTCTTTTATCAAACTGCATACCTAAGATTTTATGGTTATCTACTACACGAAGCGGAGTTCCATGCAGTTGTAAATTAGGTTGAGGAGACCTGTATTTTTTACTAAACTGGATTACTACAGATTTATGTAGTGAAAATTTGAATCCTGTACTTTCTGACCAATTGGTTATGGACTCTAGGGTGTTTTGAAGTAACGCGCATGTACTGGATGTGGTCCTACCTTGACAAAATAGAATGATATCATCAGCGTAAATAGCGTGTTGAACTGGTGCTTTTATCGTAGAGCATATGTCGTTAATACAGATTAAGAATAGTGTTGTGCTAAGTATACAACCTTGAGGTAGTCCATTCTCTACAGCTTGTGGGGCGGACATTTTACCATTTGCAGACACTTGAAACGTTCTATCCGTTAAAAAATTATTAATAAATGCTGTTATATTACCTTCTAATTTGAGGTCACTAAGTTTTGCAAGAATTATTGATTTTGAAGTGGTATCGAAAGCACTCTCTATGTCTAGAACAACGGCAATTACCTCATTCTTGTTTTGCATGGCGTATGCAATTTCAGACTGAAGTGAAACCAAATTGTCCATAGTGCATCTATTTGATCTAAACCCTGACTGAAATGGATTTAGTAACTTATGTCGTTCTAAATACCAGTTTAGACGATTATTTATCATTTTTTCTAAGACTTTACATAATGAGCAAGTTAAAGAGATGGGTCGAAATGAACTGGGTAATGCTGAAAGGCAGTCATTCTTTTTAATTGGAATTATAATGGATTTTCTCCATAGCCTGGGAAACCGTTGATATGTCCATAAAATATTGTACAGATCTAATAATTTTCTTAATGTATCTGAATGTAGTTTTTTAATAAATATTGAGGGAATATCATCTGGTCCGGCAGCAGAATTTTTTAGAGAACTAACAACATCATAGAGTTCGTTCAGAGTAAACGGTAGGTTGAGTGGATTAGGGTTCAATGAGGAGGAATGAGGAGGGAGCTGTTCGTCTCGTGTCAATAAATGGTTAATTCTGTTTTTGGATTTGTCTAAAAAATATTGTGCCAAGGTATCAGAGATTTTCTGGTCGTCTGTAATAATATTATTTTCATGGATAAGAGCGGGTATTTTATACGTTGTGTTGCGTCCATTAATTTGTTTTATTTTGTTCCATACTTGCGTTGGAGATGTGTCAGCGGTTATAGTACTGGAGAATTTAATCCAAGATTCTCGTTTACTTTCTTTTATTACTCGTTTAGAGTTGGCCTTTAGTCTCTTGAAATTAATTAAGTCCTTTTCTGATCGTGTTCTGCGATATTTGTTTAAGGCCTTTTTGCTAGCTTTAACTGCTAGCTTGCAAGATAGGTTCCACCATGGTACAGATTTTTGGGATGGATTAATGGAGCACTTTCATATGTGTTCCTCTGCTGCTTGCAGTATACATCTATTAAATTCCTCAACATCAGTATCAGCATTGTTTTGATAAACAATTGCGTTAACTCGATCCTTAACAGATGCGCTGAAAAGCTTCCAATTAGCTTTTGAGATATTCCATTTGCTCTTAACATAAGACGGTTTAGCTTCATTATTAGTGATGAAAATTGGGAAGTGGTTGCTATCATAGAGACTATCAAGCGTGTACCAGGTAAGAAGAGGAGCTGTTTTGGGATCACTAATGCTCAGGTCAATTGAAGAGAAAGAGCCAGACTGTATATGAAAATACGTGCTACTTCCTGTGTTTAAAAGACTAACATCATGATTAATGATAATATCCTCAATAATCTTACCTCTACCAAACGTATTTCTGGATCCCCATATAACACTATGAGCATTAAAATCTCCAACAAGAATAAATGGAGCTGGAAGTTGGTTAATGAGATTTAAAAGTTCAGCACTGACAAGATTATAGTTAGGAGGAATGTAAACATTGCAAATGACAATTTTGTTAGGGCACCATGCAGTTACTGCAACAGCTTCCAGCGTTGTATTTATCAAAAATTCTCGGTGAAAGACATCATTTGAAATAAAAATGGAGGATCCACCGCTGGCCCTTAAATGCGTTGTCCTAATAAAATTATAGCTAGAATAGTTTCTAAGATACGGATTGTGTGTTGTGTTAAAGTTAGTCTCTTGTAAGCAGAGAAAATCAGGGGCGTGATCTGAGATTAACTGTTGTAGTCGTTCAAGACGGGGGAAAAACCCGTCACAATTCCACTGAATTAATGTGAATAAAATTACAGATTATTGTAATGACTTTTGAGACTGTTGAGATGCGTCTGAGTTGCTGTCATCATCGCTTACGTCATAGGATATATCAATACTAGATACACTTTCGGCGTCATCAGGTTCCAGTTGGAGTTTAATTTTTTTATTTATGCGTGTTATACGATATTTAATTGCCCGTTCTTGGAGAGATGAGTACAGAAATTGTAAATTTAAGATCAAAGATTTAATATCGGTCGTGAATTTCAATGCTTCGGTGTAAGGATCGTTATTTCCAAAGGTGTTTTCAAGGAAAGCTATCAAATTATCTTGAGGAAGTATAAATGCTTCTGGTGATTTAGTGTAGGCTTTTTTTATATCCTCTTTAGTTTGTTCAGTTAGTCCGGTTTCTATTGGTGGGTTTGTCCTTCGTTTCTTTCTTTTTTGCTTAATGGTTTTATCCTGCTGTATATGGCTGGCAGGTGAAATGGGTGGAGGCATGCTAACAGTGTCATCTAGGGAACTGTTATCATTCGTGACCGTCGATACTTCTGAGCGACCTCGTTTAAGGGCTGGATTTAATGCGGTAGTTGTGTCCAGTTGTGCAGTATCTGTAATAGGGGTCGCGCTGGAGGTGTCTGTCGACTGTGTGTTATCTAGTAAAGGGGATGTGTTCATGGATAATTCGGGATTTGAATTGGGAGTTTGGGTTACATTAACAGTTGGAGGATTAGGGCACTTAGAAGCAATGTGTCCTGGTTGTTTACAGATAAAACACTCCATTTTATCTGTAGATAAAAAGATTCTGTTGTCAATACCTTCAAAAGATATTACAATTGACGTTTGTAGTTCAAAATTATCTGTATTGGAAAAAACATATACTTGGCGTCTAAAGCTAAAGGATGTGAGAGTACTCATCACCTGGGATA